ATAATCAGAACCCGGCATTAGGGGATGCCGTGGTATTGCACGCTACACTATATGTCGATCAGTAGTCACAAGCTTCGGAAGGTTCAAGTGGAATTGGGTTCTGTGGTCTCCCAGAAGTTGGGTAACCCTATATGACCTCCAATGAACTACGAAATATCATGATTTTGACAAGGACCACCCCCCCGCCAACCCTGAACCCTGAAACCCAAACCGGACTTGATATTGCGACTTCAAGGTGTGATCTGCGTTTAGGATTTAGGGTTTAGGGCTTAGAGTTTTCTAGACATTTCCTGCGCGAAGCACAGTGCTGCAGGGCCCCCTCAGCCCGCTGACTAGCCCTCTCCCACTACAACTATGGTGCACTGTTCACGGTTTTAGGGTTTAGGCTACCCTTCTAATGTGGAATGTTCCAAAACTCTTGTAACATAGTGAACAGTGAAGATTCAACAGTAGAAGGTTGTTGTTTTTGAATTAGGCGAGTGGATATGCCCAAAAACCCTGAACCCTAAAATCCCTTACCAGTCTTGGCCTCCCAATTCTTGTGCATCTGCTGGTGGGCCGGCTGTCCTGGACAAGAACCTCAGTTTAGGGTCCCAGGTTTAGGGTTTAGAGCCACTTCTAAGCTTCCAGGTTTCTTTCCTAAGTGCCCATTTTTAGGTTCTACGCTTCCAAATGTCCACGTCCTAAGGACTGCAAGTTCGTTGGTAGGTCGAAATGTTCTATATCTAGACCTTCCAAATATCAGGGTATTGGCTATTGACTGCAAAAAAATGGAAAAGTCCTCTGCTATTATGGGCATCTGTTGGAGAACATGGAAGCTTCCCAGTCGCTGGGAATTAGGATTAGGGAGTATATTAGGGACTCTACTAGACTACAGGAGGGATCTCTATGTCCACCCTTAATGGTCCCTGGGTCAGGCAAATATTGACAATAACTCATGTAAGTTTGGCAGAGGGTAGGGTCCTTGCCAAAACACCCCACGGACTTTCCTACGCTGTTCTGTTTTTCTCGGCTGGCATCCCTACATGGAAATCCACTCTAACCCCTGGAGCCTAAATCCTAAACCCCCAAATCCGAAGAAAGCCTCAGCCTAAGAGCTTATCCTAAGACTTTGCAGTCTCATACAGCACGTTGTTGGAACTTTAAACCTGCAAATCCGAAATGCTGCGTAATTTTCTCTCCTTAAAACAGCCGTATTAAATACACATGGTACTGTTTCAAATCAAGCCTATACTAGACGCAGAAAACACAGGCATTCGCTTTCCACCCTGAACACTAACCCCCCCAACCCTGAATCGGCCACCCCTCAAACCTGAAACCCGAAAAAACATCCGAACCTCTTAGCCCGTTGCCCTAAACTAGGTAGGTACATCGCGAACAACCAGCGCTATCTACAATAGTACGTAACAGGTGTTGTAGGACGCTAGCTGGTCATGACTTGGGTTTTTCACTACCTAGGGCTTTAGCCAAACACCTGCACCCAGCTGTTATATAATGAATAGCAATGCCCATGTCATGTTTCTTTTTCTCGTCCATGCGATGCTCTATTGTTGGGCTGATATTAGGCTAATATCCCTATGCCCCATCTCACGCACTACTGATCCCCAAACCTGTAGTCCCCTTAGACCTAAAAGAAAATACTATCTTCAACAATTCCTTGGGGCTATACTTAAGTAGATAGAATATGGGGTATATGTGGATCTTATACTGATAATATACCCCAAGCCATATTCTATCTACTTAAGGGGGTGTATATACTCTAGCAAAAACAAGAAGTAATTCTCAAGGAGACTACAGGAACCTTCGGGGCTAAACCCTCCTTCCCTAACCCAGGGCCCTCAACCCTGAACCCTGAATCCCCACAAACTCAACCCTAGACCCTAAGTCCTAAACCCTTAACCCTAGATCCTTAAACCTAAGCCCTTCACCCTAAATCCAAGGAAGCCTAAACCCTAGTTTGGAGTACACACCAGAAAAAAGTATAGATTTTTTAGGTATAAGTTGTCATAACAAGAACCCAGGAACCAGTAAAGTATTAGAGTGTAGTACTCCAATATTGGGAAAATGACCTGTTTTTCACCCTAAACCCTAGCCTAAACCTGTTTGCAGCCTAGAGACGGCTCAGGCTGAGCCTCCTGTGCCCTCCACTGGGAGCCGGCAGCCTCGTCGGAGGGCCTCGGAAATTATTGGTTTAGGGTTTAGGGTTGAAGGCTTATGGTCAATTGTTTAGAGTTTAGGGCTTGGGTCTGGGGTATTCGGGTTTGGGTTAGGGTCAAGGGTTTAGAGTTTTGGGCTTAGGGTCTAGGGTATTAAGGTATAGGGTCTAGGGTATAGAGTTTAGGGTTGACGAGCCGAAATGTTTAAACGAGATTTTAGTTACTAGGAATTGCGGCATAGCTTGTGGGGCTAGAATAAATATGATTATTCCGTACCTGCACCCTGAAACCACCCTGAGGGTCCTCTGGGGTGTCATGGTGCCTTGCTTGGGGGCCATAGGTTCAGGTGGACCCCCCCCCCACCCTGTAATAGTAACTATACAGGATAATAAGGATCATCTTAGGGCCGTCTTATATTCCTTGTATTTATACCACAATTACAGGGTGGGGGTTTACCTAAGCTATACTTTACCACCCAAAGTGGAACTACATACGGTTGATCGTAAAAACCTACATGACCTTGCGATATGAACTCTGATACCACAAGCCTCAGGGTAGAACGAACCTACGGTCACGTAGAATTTTTAATACACTAAGACCCTAAACCGCTAAACCCTAAACCCCTAAAACCTAAACACCTAAATCCTGAACCCCTAACCTAAAAACACAAACCCTCACACCCTCAACACTATGACCGCCACGGTCTGGCCTGGTGCTTTGGGTTTTTGGTTCCAAGGTTTAAGGTTTACGGCGTGGATGTTAACAGTTCAAGGTTCTGCAAGTTCAGGCTTAGGACCCAGGTTTTAGAGTTCAGGGTCTTATTGGGGTTTAGGATCTCAGAGGTTAAAGCCCGGAAGTCAAGATGGAATTTGGTTCAGCTCAGACACTGTTACAGTTGCTTGCTCCTTTCTCATTATTGTTGTTTAACCCAAAACCCAAAACTCAAAACCCTAAACCCAAAACCACCTAAACCCCAAACCCCCACCTAATATGGGGTTTTAAGGTGTAGAGTTGCCTTCTGCCAAAGCCTTTCCCACTCACATCTCGCATTGAATCACTGATGGGCGTTTCCAATAATGGGGTACGCCGTGAACCCCAATGTGTTAGTCTCCTTGCTAAAGAGACTCCCCGACAGGTGGCCTTAGTTTTTGGAACAGAGTTTCAATCCGCCTCTTGCTTGTCCAACCCCCTCCTACACCACCAAACAGAACAGTTGTTACTGACCTTACCCGAAGTTCATATCAACAGACTGTCAAACTCCCTGTAGTGGGGTGCTGCCATGCTGTATTAGGGTTCAGGGTTTAGGGCTTAGGGTTCCATATGCCACCAGTAATTTACTGGTGCTTATAAGGGAGAGTGGGGGAGTGGATCCCGATAATTATCCCTATCTAACCCTCATTTATCCTTCCTCGTACTACAGCAGCCATTCCCCCACTCCGGCTTTTCAAATCCTAAACTCAATCCTAAACCCGAAATTTCTAAGTCCTGAACCCTAAACCCTGCATCCTAAACCTTAANNCCCTACACCCTAAACCTTAACCCACACCAACTTCAAGCAAGCTGAGCCAAGAGGCTGGATCCCGTTGTTTGAAGGCCGGGCCGGCGAACCCTGGCTTGCCGGAGCCTGGAACAAGGCCATGAAGCTGCTCCCATAGTAATGGTTTAGGGTTTAGGGTATAGTAGGATCCATATTGGGGTCACAAATTTATGAGAACCTCTACATATGTTTTTTTGTTTTTTTGCAATTGGGGCGCCAGTTATAAGCTGAGTTATATTAGGGTTTAGGGTTTTACCTGAATTATATCATACTTATGGGTCCCTTTCTGTCTTGACCCAAGCAAAGTCATCCCTGTTGGAAAGAATCGTTCACTGGTAGATGAGGAATACCTTCATTTGAGCTACTGTCTAAA